TCTTTCTTTGAATGTCTTAAATATTTTACTCTCTTTGAGTAAAACAGCATTGCTGTTGAAACTCTGGTATCATATTTTTTCCCTTGTAAGTCATTCACTCTTCTCGCCTCGCTGCCCAAAAGTTTATTTAAATGTGTAAATATTTTCCCAGAATATATTTGGTGTTACTTCTTCTGGGTCAGTGTTCTCAGGTATGCAGTATGTTCTTTCAGTATGTAATTTCAAGCCTCTTTTTATTTTAGCAATTAGAGTTTTTAGTATTTGCTCTGTTCCCTTGCTTGGATTTCTGTTAGGGACTGCTGTTCTCTGTATGTTGCTTCTTCCATGCCTGTCTTCATTATCGGCCACTTTCTTTCAAATTCTTTTTATCTCTTCATTTCTTTTTAGCATTTAATCTTTACTTCCTGTGTTGTTCTTATGGCGTTAGCTGTTGTGTGTTTATCCACTCATATTTCTATTAGTCTTCATTTCTGAAAAGATTTTTCAAATTTCTAATTCTTTATTAAGTTCTATCACCTTGTTTTGAAGCTTTTCTGATTTTTATGTGGCTCTTTTGTGTCTTGTATAATTTTTTTTATGTTTTTAACTTATTTTGAAATTTTGATAGGTTTTGTTGGCATGCTTTCGTTGTCTGTGTGCTATCATATTTTTTTGCCCAAGAGCTTTTTTATTCTCTTAATGCTCCTCTTTTTTTTAATAGAAATCACTTCTCATTTCTTAGTCTTATTTATCTCTCTAAGGATAGTAATGGTAGTATTTTTTAAAGTTTTATTCTACCAGACTAATTTATTTCTTCTCATCCTCCCTCCATTTGTTTTGGCCTTTATCATTTTAGAGACTTCCCTCAAGTATATGGTGATCCTTGGTTATTGGCCCATGTTTAGGAGTTGGACAGTCAAAAACTGATTAGAAAGTCTGTGTGCCATGAGTTAAGTCTTGTTGAATTCTAGACTTTACCATAAAGTAATCTGGTGAGCCATTTTATCCTGAAACCTCCAGTGTCAGTATCTTTTAGTTGATTTTTTTCTTTGGTGCAGATCAAATTTTTCAGAGAAGTTTCTTTCAGTCACCTACCCTGGAGGATATAAGCCTGAGTGATAGTGTTCTGGGAGCCATATGAAGAGAAGAAAATTGTTACTCTGGTATATAAACTTCTGCTTATTAACGAAGCTGCTGCTAGTTGTTGATGGTTTCCCCTAGTCTAGACTTTCATTTTTAATTTCTCCAGAGAATAACCTCTAGCAACATGCCTGGGAGGGGAAAGACAGTTTGCTGAGCTCTCTGGAATAGGTGAAGAGAACTGGAAGGTTCTATTTCTTACCAGTATTTTTTTTTTTTTCCAGAAAATCCCCTTGTTTTTAGGCTCACCTTCAACCTCACTTCCAGACATGCCTATTGTTTCAAATTGCTGAGCTTTTTATGGGTTCTGTAGCATAAATTAATTTGAATTAAATTTTCCTGTGTCTGCTAAGTCAGTTATTTGTCTTTTTACTTTCCACTTTCTAAAATGCTGTTGCTGTTGCTTCTTTCATTCTCTTTGTCTTGAAGGGGTGTGTGTGTGTGAAGCCCTTTACTATGTTCAGTGGTATTTCAGGAGAGAGAGCAGAGCTAATGCACACTTTTCAGTTGACCAGAAGTTCCTTGACCTATTTAAACAGAGAAGCTCAGGGAAGTCACTCTCCCAGGTCTATTCCTGATTCTGTTAGAGCAAATGACACAGTGTTTTTCTAATAACAGAGTTTTGTTTGCTTGTTTTAAGGGATACTCCTGATGCTGATCAGAAAAGTCACAAATTGTGTTTTATTTTCCTCCTTTATGCCAAGCCTCAACTGTGTTTAACTCAGTCCTTTTCTATAGCTTTGCAGGCCCATGAATGAAGTGTATTTCATTTATCATTCATGAACAGGAAAGAGAATTTGAAATGTCATATAAAAATGCTCTGTGTTAAGATGTATATGATAAGCCCTAGAACAACCACTAAGGAAGTAACTTAGAAAAATATAGTGAAACACCATGAAGGAAATTAAAAGGCTGCGTCAGAAAATATTCACTTAGTATCAAAGGGTAAGTAGTAAACGAGGGACAGAGGAACAAAAAAAAACATTAGATACAGAGAAAACAAAATTAAATTGGTAAACATAATCCAACTGTATCAATAATAAATGTGAATGGATTAAATAGTCCAAATGGCAGAGATGACCAGACTAGATTTAAAAAAAAAAAAAAGAAGAACACAGTATCCAGCTATATGCTGGATAAACAGAATAGAAAATAGAAAAAGAATAGACAAAAGTTGTGTGTGTTTTTTTTAAAGATCAACAAAACTAGCAAACCTTTTAGCTAGATTGACGAAAGAAAGAATACTCAAACTACTAAAATCAGAAATGAAAGAGGGGCAGTCCTACCAACCTTACAGAAATAAAAATGATAATAAAGGAATCCTATAAACAATTCTATGCCAGTAAGTTGGACAACTTAGATGAAATGGACAAATTACTTGAAAGGAATCCTCGATAACATAAAAAGTTGGTATTGTGATGCATTTACAGGCTGTTGCCTTCTCCACTCAAGGACGCAGTGGAAGTATCAACCTGGAGAAGATGCTATACGATGCAAGAGGTGAACTCTGCCCTTAGCAAAATCCAGCTGGTGGGATATTCTCAGAAAATTGTGAGTGTTAATATGATTTTAAGTGATGCATGAATGCTTCCAATTCATATTGTTACCCTTTGGGAGGATCTTATAGTTCCCTTTCTTTAGCCATTCAGTCACTGAGAATCTTGTACAAGTATGAGGTGAAAAGACAGACAGTCATTATCCTCCATCCTCCAGGTTCTTGTTGGTGTTCTTTCCTAACACTCACATTCCCCAGCATTAGTTAGCCTTCTCTTGGCCAGCTTGTAATGATCAGGAGAAAGACATCTCACTCTATTCACTTCAGAATAGTGGGTGCAACTTTATAGGTTTTGGACAGGTGAAATAGGAAACAGCATATAACAGATCAAGAAGCAATTTGTCAAGTATAAGTTTTGAACTTTGACCTGATAGTAAGGGTTCCCATTTTGTTAACTTGTGCCCGGAGCCCCTCGGTATAGAATGACCAAGAGATTAATGCCTAGCCTAAAAAAAGAAAAAGAAGGGGCACCTGGGTGGCTCAGTCGTTAAGCATCTGCCTTCGGCTCGGGTCATGATCCCAGAGTCCTGGGATCGAGCCCCACATCAGGCTCCCTGCTCGGCAGGAAGCCTGCTTCTCCCTCGCCCACTCCCCCTGCTTGTGTTCCTGCTCTCTCTGTGTCTCTCTCTGTCAAATAAATAAATAAAATCTTTAAAAAAAAAAAAAAAGAAAAGAAAACCCAAGTAATTTTCTCTTTGGCCTTTCTGGTCATCTATCGTCTCTCTCTGTCTTTTGATGAGTCAGGCCTGGGTTCGTGGTACATGTGGCTGAAACCAGAGAGGGGGCAAGTAAAGACTAGGATTGCTTTCTGGGTCTACCATATGGTCTCCATTTTTTGTTTTGTTTTGTTTTGGTTTTGGGGTTTTTTTGCTTTATTTTATACTTTGTTTTACTTTAAATTTTCTTTATCTAAGTGGATAAAGGTATTTCTGGGGTTTTTTCCTGCAAAGACTTATCTGGTGTGACTGTACTGCTGAAAGCTCATCCCATATTCTTACTGTGGTTCTTTTCTAGGAGCTTTTTGGTGCAGTCCAGGTGACTCCGCTAAGCTCAGGCTATGCCCTTGGAAGCTCCAACTGGATTATCCAGTCCCATTATGAGAAAGTATCATATGTTTCTGGATCCTCCTTACTTACCACACATCCCCAGGTAATTCTAAATCTCTTTTAACAACTCAGTTTTTTGGTTATTTAACCCAAATTCATAATATATCCAGAGTATCATCAGTTGTTTTTAAATCTTCCTAATTTTGGTTTCTACATGTATCCTTTTATTTTTTTTAATTTTTGTTGTTATGGTAAGAATACTTAACATGAGATCCATCCTCTTAATTTTTGTACTATACATTATTGTTGACTATAGGTGCAGTGTTGTATAGCAGATCTCTAGAGCTTATCTTGCTTAACTGAAACTTTATGTTCTGTAGATAATCTTCATGAAAGTTAGATTTTTCATGTCCCAGTATTTAGGATTGCAAGTTCCTCTGTAAGATCCTGCTGTCTTTAGGTTCATCTCTAGCATTCTGAGATTTTCCACCACTTCCAATTACCATAGCCTGATATAGAACAGAAATGGTCACTCATTTACTCAGCAAATGTTAGTCATTTCTTTAATGAGGGTCTACTATGTATCAAGCACTCATCTAGGCGTTAGAGAATCAGTGGTGACCCACAGGCAAAGTCCCAGCTCATGATTCCGTGTTCAGAAGAGCAGAGAGTGCCATTGTGATTGCAGCATGCTGAGTATAGTCAGCAGGGGTGTCCATGAGATAAGCAGAGCCAGGTCATATGGAACTTTGTAGACCGTGATGAGAAGTTTGGATTTTATTTTACTTTACTTTTAAAGATTTACTTATTTTAGAGAGAGAACACAAGCAGGAGGGGCAGAGGGAGAGGGAGAAAGAATCTCAAACAGACTCCATGCTGAGCACGGAGCTCGATCTCACAACCCTGAGCTCAGGGCTCAGTCTTACAACCCGGAGATCACGACGTGAGCTGAAACCAAGAGTCAGACGCCCAACCAACTGCACCACCCAGGCACCCCTGGATTTTATTTTAATGTGTAGAGGAAAGCTATTGGAAGATTTTAAGTCCATCATTCGTTAACAATCTTATTTGGCAAGTAGCTAAGTACATAACCATTGTTACAAATGTATTCTTTATTCCTTTTTAGGTATTATTGTTCATTTCCTAAATCCTGATTCTTTCCATGTTTGTAAGGGAGGGGCAGAGAAGATTAGATAGTTAGCTGTTGGATGGGTACAAATGTAGATAACTTGGGGAAGTCCATATCCTGTTTTAATATAAAGGGGAAAAAATGACTGCTGTAGGTCTAGAAGAATAAGATGCATCTGAGACTAGAGAGCAGGCGGAGGCCCGTGTGGGGCTGTTGCTCAGCAGGCCCGGCCTGGCTTTGGGCCCCGAGCCTCCCAGCCGGGGACTCTGCACCTGCGCCCGTCCGGCCACTGCCCGCTCCCCTGGCGCGGCCGCGGTTCCAGCTGCAGCGCGCCGCCTGGGTGGCTGGGCGGTCCATGGGCAGCAGCGAGGGCCACGATGACAGATTACGGCAGGGAGCAGCGCAATGAGCTGGAGGCTCTGGAGTCCATTTACCCCGACTCCTTCACAGTATTATCAGAAAATCCACCCAGTTTCACCATTACTGTGACATCTGAGGCTGGAGAAAATGATGAAACTGTCCAGACTACCCTCAAGTTTACATACAGTGAAAAATACCCAGATGAAGCTCCTCTTTATGAAATATTCTCCCAGGAAAATCTAGAAGATAATGATGTCTCAGACATTTTAAAACTATTAGCATTACAGGCAGAAGAAAACCTTGGTATGGTGATGATCTTTACTTTAGTGACAGCTGTGCAAGAAAAACTAAATGAAATAGTAGATCAAATAAAAACTAGAAGAGAAGAAGAAAAGAAACAAAAAGAAAAAGAGGCAGAGGAAGCTGAAAAGCAATTATTTCATGGCACTCCTGTTACAATTGAGAATTTCTTAAGTCGGAAGGCCAAGTTTGATGCAGAGCTCTTGGAAATTAAAAAGAAACGAATGAAAGAAGAAGAACAAGCAGGAAAAAATAAATTAAGTGGGAAACAGCTCTTTGAAACAGATCATAGTCTTGACACATCTGATACCCAGTTTTTGGAAGATGCTGGAAACAATGTGAAGGTAGATGAATCTCTGTTCCAAGAAATGGATGACTTGGAGCTAGAGGATGATGAGGATGATCCCGACTATAATCCTGCTGACCCAGAGAGTGATTTGACTGACTAGTGGACTATCCCCATCTGCAGAGAGGTGTGACTGCCACAGCATCTGTGGCTGTGCTGACGTGTTGATTTTTCTTTCTTTTTTTCTAAGAAAAAATAATTTTCAGGAGAATATTCTTCTGATAGCTTTCATCATTGAACTTAATAAACTGACCTTAAAGTTGCAAATAAAAAAAAAAATAAGATGCATCTGAGCTACCACTTTGTAGTGGCTTTTTTCATACCTTTTATAATTAAGTTTCATCTCAAGGTCTAGAGGGGCCAAGTTGCTGTTTTTTCCTATAGCTAGCAGAATTCTGGGCCTTTCCTGCTTATTGAAATCAAAAGCCCATCAATGTCCTCTTAATCTGCCTCATTGAATCAAAATACTTTATTGGCAGCTTCTATCATTCTTGATATATTCTTCTGTAAAAGACAGAAAGATTACTTGGCTGCCAACTCTTCTGATTTGTCCTGCTTAGATCAAAGCCTTTACCCTACTACTGATGCAATTTCCAGTAAATTATTCTTCCAAGGTTCGTAAATTTAAAGGGAAAATAAGGTCTTGAAAGTAATGAGCAACATACCTAAGTAATTCATTTTAATTTCTAGCTGGCAACCAGTGTTGTATGTAAAAAAATAATAATAATGAATTAGATTTTCTTTTACCCAGATAATTAGATTCAATATTGAATTAGCAGGGATAAGAAAAGTTTAGATTTGGAAAAACTTAATAGTCAGCTTCATAGGTCAGCAGACTATGGCCCATGGACCAAATTTGGCTTGCCACCTGTTTCTGTAAATAATACCTTGTTGCAGGACAGCCACATCCATTTAGTTAGGGATTGTGTATTGTTGCTTGCACACTATAACAGCAAAATTCTGCTTTAGAGTTAAACTTTACAAAAAAGGCCAACCACTGACCTACTTGAGTGGAACCCTCCGAACTGGGAAGAATAGGCTGCTGTAGTGATCTAATAAGCTAATAAGCAGAGGGGAGTGGGGAGTTGGATTAAGCCTGACGTGGTAAGAATGGAGTGACAGAGAAAACACTGGCAGGTCTTTAATTCAACAAATACTTATTGATTGCTTTCTGTCTTCAGGGAAGGAAAAATACAGATTTCATGCTTAGATAATACGGAGAATGGTGATGATGACACTAATCCAGTCGACAAGGAGGAGTTGGCAGAGGGGATTCTGGTTTTAGGAGGGGGTAGTGGCTATGATGAATAGGAATTTGAGTGAACACTGGGGACAGATGAAAATATAGAACTGGAACTTGGATGTGAAGGCAAGCCTGGAGACAAATTGGAGGAGCATCAGATTTTTTAAAGTATGTAAAGAGCTGAAAGGGAAAAACTGAGCTGTGGGGAACATTTACCAATAGAAAGTGGAAGGAAGAAAAATGATCTTGAATAAGAATGGAGAGTTAGAGGAGAATTGAGGCCCATAAAAATACAGCATCCCAAATGGAAGGAGAGAGCTAGCTTTTACTGAGCAGAATGTGTCAGTATTCATTTTTCTGATTGATCTGATATTCAACAGCATACTGAATTCTTATATTCTAATGTTTATCTATTGATGGTAATATTATCTGCAAAGAAGTAACAATTGTGTCACTTTTCTTCCAATCCTTTTATCTTTTCTTTCTTTTTTCCTGTCTTACAACTACATACTCTAGTCCCAGGTAGACAGAAGTGATGACAGTGGAGGCCTTGTCTATACTGGATTGTAAAGGGAATGCTTAGGTAGCTTCTTCATTAAATAGGATGGCTTACTCCTTGTTTTTAGCTATCAAGTGAGGAGTTTCTCCCCAATTTTCTGCTTTTTAAAAATCAAATGTAGATGTTGTACTTTATCAAATGCCTTTTCTGAGTCTGTGAGATGATCACGTGATTTCTTTCCTTTAGACCAGTAATGTAGTGAATTATACTAGCTTTTCTTACATTTAACTGTCCTTGTAGTCTTGGGATAAGTCTTATTTGATCACAATTTATTCTTTTTAAAATACGCTCCTGGAATAAATTGATCAGTATGTCTGCATTACTGATTTTCTTCAAAGAATAAGTTTTTGCTTTTAATTGTTTTTGTTGCATTTTCATTCTCTATTCTGCCCTTTATTATTTCCTTCCTGCCATCTTTGGGTTTACTCTGTTGCTTTTCTTTTAATACTTATCTCATTTGCTTCCGTCCTTCTGTGCTTTTCAGTAAGTGTACTTTAAAGCTATGAGTTTCTCTCAGTATCATTTAACTCTGTTAAATTGTTGATCCGTAGTGCTCTGTCAGTCATCTCTACGTATATCATAATTTCCTTCATATGTTCATGATGTAAGTAGCCAAAGGTTGTTTTATAGTGCTTGCCTTTGTTTCTAGTCCATCCAATATGATTAGACTTAGGGTTAGATGAGAGACTTTTTTCAAGTCATACTTAAATGTTTCTGGATTTCTTTCTTTCTGTCTTTTTCTTTTTCTTTCTTTCTTTTTCTCTTTCTCTCTCTCTCTCTCCCTTTTGCATTTGGATAAGAGTATACTAATTCACTGAAGTGTTATTTTGAAACATAGTCTGTTTTTTAAGTGTTCTGTGTATGCTGGAAAAGACTGTATTTACTGTTGAATGAAAAATTTTCTATATGTATGTATTCATTTGAGTTTATTATGTTATTCTGGTCTTTCATATCTTTGCTTAGCTTCCAGTTTCTGAAAAGATGTGTTATTTGTTGATCAGTTTCTCCCTATACTTCCACCAGTTATTGCTTCTTATAGTTTTAAGCTGTATAATCAGAGGTATATATGTTCATGATCATTATGTTTTATCAGGATGCTGATTTCTTTTTTTCTCTATCAAAACTGCATTAAAAGCCAAGAGACATTTTCCCCCTTCAGTATTTGCCTGGTATTCTTTTCCATCCCTTTTCATTCCTTCTGTATCCTTTTCTAGTGAATCCCTTGTAGACAACATAGAGATTTTTTTCTTTTTTCTTTTTTTTAAGATTTATTTACTTATTTTAGAGAGAACGTTCACATGAGTGGGGGAAGAGAGAATCCTCAAGCAGACTCCCCGCTGAGTGTGGAACCTGATGCGGACTCAGTCCCACAGCCCCGAGATCATGACCTGACCCAAAACCAAGAGTCGGACACTCAACGACCTGAGCCACCCAGGCACCCTGATTCTTTTTTCTTTTTTAAATATTTTATTTATTTATTTATTTGAGAGAGAGAGCGCACAAGCACAAGCAGGGGGAAGGGCAGAGGGAGAAACAGACTCCCCGCCGAGAAGGGAGCCCAACACAGGGCTTGATCCCAGGACCCCATGTCCTGAGCCAAAGGCAGACGCTCAACCGACTGAGCCACCCAGGTGCCCCAATGAAACTATTTATATTTCCTGTAATTATTATTGTATCAAGGGCTTATTTTTGCAATCTTATTTCATGGTATTTTTAGTTTATTCTTTCCCCTGTCCTTTCTTCCCTTCTTTTAGATGGCTAAATGTAAGTTTGAACACATGTATTTGATTTTTATTCTTCTGGGTTGTTCCTTAGTTTATTTTTCCTTTGAGTATCCTGAACTTATCAGTATCTTTTTCTTTCCCTCCAAAGCCACATTTCCTCTTGTCTCTGCCATCTTTTTCCTCTTCCTCTCCCCCCCCCACCCTCCCACCATGTTCATACTGTCTGGAATTTTAGTTCTGGGTTATTTAAAATATACATAGAGTACTGAATATATTGCTTATTTATAGATAACAGTGAACCTTATTGAGTTTGTTTTTTTTTTTCAACCTTACTTCCCATGTATCTCATAATCCTTCTAGATTTACTTTCCTTTTTCCAGGAGTACTTGAGGAATGTTCACCAAGAGGGTCTTAAAATGGTAAACCTTATGAGGCCTTGAAGTACTAAGAATATCTTTAATATTTCCTCACATTTAAATGATAGCTTGGATAGATACAAAATTCAAGGAAAAGAACTTTGAAACTATAAAGTTTTGAAAGTATTTCTTCCTTTTCCACTTGTGCCCTTGTTGCAACTTAAGAACTGCAAAGTCCTGGGGCACCTGGGTGGTTCTTTTGGTTAAACTACCCAGGTGCCCCAGAGCTTTGTGTTACTTTAGATTTGTTCCTTTATGGGGTCTGCTTTTAGAATTTTCACTTTGTCTTCAGCATTCTTAAGTTTTACTGTGATGTATCTTAAATGTGTATTTTTTTTTTCTATAATACTTTGAGAAATCTTCCAATTTCCTTTAACACAGAAGGATTCTTAATTGTTGTTAAAATTATTTATTCTTCTTATGGAACTTCTAGTATACAGGTATTGACACTTCTGTGTTTTCCATCTCTCTCTCTCTTTTTTTTCCCCCCATCTCCTTGAAACCTCCTGAAAAGACTCCTCAACTTGATCTTCCAACTCATGAATTCATTCTTGAATGAATACATACGCATATACATACTGCTCTTTAACCTATGTGTTGAATTCTTTATGGCAGTGACTGTATTTTTATACATAATATTTTCAAGTGTTTTTTTATACATAATCATTTTTATTTTACTTATTTTTATTTGTGTGTGGACTTTTCTAATGCATATTCTACTGTTCCATCTAGTTTATTAATTCTCCATGTAGGGTCAGTTTTTAGCTTATTGTATTTAGTAGGTGTTGCTTTCCTCGGTGATCTTGTTTTATTTCCCTGTCAGCTCTTACTAGCTGGCCTTCAGGGAAATCCTTTTGTACCTCTGCTCTAGACACTGCTTTTTTTCCCCAGAATTTGTCTTCCTTACTTGTTACCACTAAGCCTAAGCCTTGTACCACTTAGCCTCATAGTATGAGGGAGCAAGGAAGGGCTGGAAGGTCTGCCTATACCTTTTTTGAACACTTATCCCACTCTTCTGGTATTTTCTACCTCACAGTACATTGGAGCCCGCCACAATCTGCCAGTGGTAGTATGGAGGAGAGAGAAAAGGACAGAGTTCCTTGCCAACCTGTATTCTTCCTGCAGTGCTCAGCCCTCTTTGGCTCTTGCTTGCCATTTTGTTCCCATTCCAGCACCCATGGTTTCCCCAGGAATTCATCATGGTGGTTTAGTTTCTCAAAATTGTCAGATGCCCTTATTTCTGTGCTTTCTCTCAGCTTAGATTCTACAAGAGGGCCAGCGGCTTATGTTGACTATATCTTGTTGGGAACTCTAGTG